AGATTCAGAACAAATTGATAGTTAATATACACATTTTCCCTATCAATTTAGCACGTATTCCCCATAATTAAATATAATCATGCAAATCTCTATTTCTTCCCCCTTTTAGCATAAGCAAAAAGTACGCAATCATGTAAGAATAAGCAATAATAATAAACATAGCGGATAAACATTTCATAATTATGACAAAGGTTAATACATAATCAAAAGGTCAACCATAGTTTTAAAACATTTGTAATACAAAAAGGAAATGACCACGGAGTCGGAGGAGGATGTGGAAACCGAGCAAGCATGTCAACAAAGAAGGTGGTCATCTGATCCTGCATAGCAGCCTGCTGAGCGATAATCGTGTCCTGCTGAGCTCTTATGTGACGGAGTTCACCGCTCATTCCGTCAACTGTCGTAGTAAGAAAGTCTATCCGTCCGCTCAAAAGTGCAAACTGGTCCTCGTTACGTCCTTGACCAGCTGGTTGGGAAGCTCTAGATCGTGAGGTGCCAGTAGGAGGTGCTTCTTCATCATCTCGTCATATTCATCTTCTTCAATTGGTAACGTAGACGGCCGAGAGGATAGTCAAACTCCTTTGTTTCAGCTACCCATTGTCAATTTTTTTTAACAATTTTCATGCGTTTAAGGGTGGTGGAACTAATGATGTCGGTGGGACGGGGTTTAATGAATGCTTCGTCATGAAGAGGAATGTCAAAATGTTAAAAGATTTTGGTTAGAAGCATGTCATAGGGAAGTGCCTTAGCTACGCATGATGAACTTATGAACTTCACAAGACCTAAGGCAATGGTCGAAAAATCAACTCGCCGACCGACAAGGAAAGAGTCAAGGAGGAAGAGGTCAAAGTAATTAACTTCATCCTGATGCCCCTTCCTAGGTAAAATAACGTTGGCAATGATGTTTTGCAAAACTTTGCAAGGTAGAGTGAGTTAATTTGTTGAAATTTTAGTGATATTTTCAAAATCCTTACCCGTAACACAACGACAAGCGTCGGTCGGGTCATAGCCTTCCATCGTAGGGTGGTTTTGTGCACAAAAGTTTGGATATTACAAGGTTCAAGTTCAAGGAGAGTGCGAAGAAGTGCGTGATTTGAGTGTTTTTAATCAAGCTTGAAATATCTCCTTGACGTGAAGGAAATGAGGATCGAAATTTTCTTCTAACGAGCAAATTGACACACAACCCATTGTTATGAAAAGTTTCTCAATCCTAAATGCAGGTGTATCGAGAGAAAAAGAGGTCAAGTTAACGTTTTTACCTAGTAAAATGGGTAGCCTTGCAAAGGGGTTCGTTGGAGTCGTCTCGGTTTCAAAGTCCATGTCATCTTCAGATGATGAAGGTGGAGCTCATTGAACGGTTTGCTTGAGGTGCTTGCCTCTGCTCAGAGAAGTCGACATTGTTGAAATGAGGATTGGGAATTTCAAAAAAAAAAAAATTGCTTGAAAAGGAGGATTTTCGAGTTATAGCTTTTGAAGAGGGGATTTGAGTTATTGTGGATTGAGATATTTGAATAGATGGTCTAGAGTGATAGAGAATCTTGTAAAGTAGTAGACTTGAGCAATTAATAGTGTAATTTGAGCAAAAGTTAGGGAAGAAGTGAGATTGGAAATTTAGGGCTCGTTTTGGAAGAGAAATCGATGAGAAGTTTGAATTGTAGATTCGAAATTTGGATCCAATGTGGATGGAAATCGATTTTTGAGAGAGGATTGTGAGAGAATTTGAGATTTAGTGGAGAGGGAACAATGGATGAAGATAAGAGAGAAGAGAAATGGAGCGAATTCGAGTTTTAAAAGCTGGAATTTTCCAGTACCGAACGTCCGCTATATATATCGGACGTCAGGTAAAAGATAATCAAAAGGCAAAAAAAGGTTATGTCTTACCGGATAGTCCATACCGGACGTCCGGTATTTTTTTTTATATAAATAGAAATGTAATCAAAATAAGGAATATATAGAGAAATATAGTTTTGAAAATTATATTAGCTCGATAAGACCCAAGCTTCATCTAATGATCGAGCGCAAGGGGTTTGGTGAAAATATCGACCAATTAGTTTTCGGTGTCAACAAACTCAAGTGAGATATCACCGTTTTGAACATGATCTCTTAGAAAATGATGTCGTATCTCAATGCGCTTCGTTCGAGAGTGTAAAACAGGATTTTTGGATAAATTAACAGCACTTGTATTGTCGCACATGATAGGAATATGATCATAGGATAGGTGATAGTCGCTAAAGGTTTGTTTCATCCATAGCACTTGAACACAACAACTTGCGACGAAAATGTATTCGGCCTCAATCGTAGATAGGGCTACGGAGTTTT